CTCCTGCGGCCTCCACGCCCTGGTGCTGGGGGTCACGGTGGCCCAGCAGCGGCAGGACGCCCTGGACCAGGGCACCTTGCTGAGACAGGTAACGGGGCCGAGTGAGTGGGACGTGGGTGGGTGTGTGTGTGTGGGGGTGACAGGCAAGTCATCCCCGTTTGGTGTTTCCATGAGTTACTGTGAGGTTTGTTCTCATCATCCCTGTGCCCTGACCCTAAGGGCAGGTTGGATCCAGACTCTGTGAGGTGATGGTAGTGTTTGCAGGGAGCAAGGGGAATCACCAAAGCATATCTGGGGATGGACACAAGTGGGGTGCTGGGACACGCAGGGCCTCAGACCTGGCCCCACAAGACAGGGATCCATCCCCAGGAGCCACGGGGGTTGCGTGGACACACGGGCTGCTGGGGAAACTGAGTCACAGTGGACTGAGGCCTTTCCCGTCCACCCTGCCTTAGTGGCCTTGCTTGTGCCAATTTCCCTTTGAATTGCAAAATATGGCCAAAAATGGCCATTTTTAGCAGAAACGTGGCAGGAGCTCAGCTTCTGGGCTCGCAAACAGCCTCTGGAGCTTTCCCAGGAGGAAGGAGCCAGGGGGCCACTCAGCCCCAGCTCAGTCCCGGGGCGATGCCCATCACCCAGCCTCATGCCTGGGGACACCTTGGGGTGATTTTCTGCACCCACAAAGCTGGAGAACAGAGTCCCTGAGCTCTAGCGTGGGCTTAAAGACAGGCCACCCATTTAAGCATGCAGCAAAGGAGATGTGGGGTGTCAGCTGGGGGGAAAAGTGGTCCCTGCCCCATCAGGTTCTCAATATTTCCCGAGAGATACCCACCTGGAGCAGCTGGGGTCTGTTTTTATTCCCTAAATCAGTGGTTTTCATGGCTTGGCCAAGTCCCTTTCCTGTAGGGGATGTCCCCACTGGCTGGCCACACATAGATCTCAGGAGCCATTCCACGGCTGGGGTGGGGAGTGAGGGAGGCTGGAAAAAAAAGCCAGGGCTGGAAACTTGTGTGCTGATGGCAGTGGGGAAAACCCTGCTGGAAGCATCTGCTCTGCCCCATAATGGTGTGGGCTCCATGAGAGGTTACTACAGGGATTTGGGATGCTTTGAGTCAGATCCTGGGAGGCTTCCAGCATATAAAGGAAGGGAGAGGGGGATATTTATTTGCTTTTTGGGAGGATTTGGGAATGTTGAGCCTGTGGTCACACAGGAAGTTTGGGAAATGGAGCCTGTTCTCTAAAAAAAAACCCAAGGATGGTGTTTTTCCCCAGTCTCTGGGGGTGTGTTTTAGGGCTGGTCCCTTGGCATGGGACATTTTCTGGTGCCACAGGGGATTTTGCAAAGAAAAACACTTTTTGGGAACAGTTTCCATATTGTGCTGGGATGGGTGCTGGGGCAGTGGCATGGGTGCCCTCTGGTGATGCCCAGCTGGAGGCATCACGCTGGTGGGACTAGCATCTTTCCCAGGTTTTGTTTCTTCTCTGGGATGCAAGCACTGTGAGTGGCTGATCCAAAGCCAAGGAAACAGCTCTCTACAACTAGCTGAAAGGAGGATGGAGCAAGGTGGGGGGTTGGTCTGTTCTCCCAAGGAACAAGCAATGGGACAAGAAGAAATGGCCTCAAGTTGTGCCAGGGGAGGTTTAGATTGGATACTGGAAAATATTTTTTCCTGGAAAGGGTTGTCAGGCCCTGGCCCAGGCTGCCCAGGGCAGTGGTGGAGTCCCCATCCCTGGAGGGGTTTCAAAGCCGTGTAGCTGTGGTGCTGAGGGACATGGTTTAGTGGTGGCCTTGGCAGTGCTGGGGACTTGGAGATCTTAAAGGTCTTTTCCAACCAGAATGATTCTGTGATTCTATGCAATCTCCCCCTGCCACCAGCCCCGGGATGTGGGAGGCTGATGAGGGGCCACAGGGCATCCCCCCCGGCCGGCACCGGGCGGGTGCGGCCGCGTTAATCATTGCCACGGCGCGGAGAGTCCGGGGCCGGTAAAACCTTGGCAACGCGGCATGCCTGAGCCTCTGCCGGCCTCCGGAGGGGGAACATTATGTCCAGAAATAAACATCAGATGCTTTATGATTATGATTGTTATTGTAGCCGGTGGCGCGGCTCCCACCCG